ATAGTAATAATCATTTATTGCCTATATGAATCATGATTTTAATACAGACTAGTATATGAGAGCAAGTTTGGTATAGTGATTAAAGGCTTTATGTAAGAAATCAGAAAATTTTGAGTTTTAATCCTGCCTTGGGCTGGAGCCAGCTGGGTGACTTTGGGCAGTCACTATGAAGCCCTAGGAATAGGAACATGGCAGCCCTCTCCCAAAAATATTTCCAAGAAAATGACATGGCTTGACTTGACAAGACTGACCTGAAATTGACTTGAAATTGGTATAAACAATAGCAATTCTATATAAAAATATAAAATATGGTTTTTATTTCTTACAAACATCAGATAAAATAAATACAAACTAGCTTTGGTGAACTTTTATTTTATTTTGTTTCCTTTCAGTTGGTACTGATTTTGTCATGGTTTATTGTGCTTTCCATTTTGTATTTTTATTTTATTTTACAGAAGAAGAAAAAATCAAGCATGTCCTTCAACAAAAGCATTTTTCTAGCAAAAGAAATAATTGATATGCAGGAGTGAAGAATGTATCTGTTGATTAAGTAGAGAATGTTAAAGAGTGTTTGATTTCCCCTTATACAGCTCTTGTTTCTAGGGTTTTCTAAATAAATCTCGGTTACATCCACTCTTATCTCTTTCTTGCTGTCACCTAAAGAAAAGTGATTAGAACTGGCAGGTTTTCCAACTGTGCTCAAATATAAAAAAAGCATTAAAAAAATAGTACAGCCGTATGGTCAAGACTGAAGGTTTTAAAATAAAATGAAGCGTCCACTAATTTTGCTGTTTTTAGCAGAAGGAAATTTTAATTTGAGGAATTTAGGTATTGCTTTTAAATTTTTGAACTGTTGTGCTTGTTTAGAGCTTAAACTTTGGAGAGAAACTCTGTGCTTATGAAGGTTTCAGCTGGCTGATATTGATTTCACAAATTTTATTGTGTAATCTTGAATATTGTCCTTAAACCTGGGTCAATCAAAGAAGATCTAATGAATGGGGACTATTGAAAAAAATCTGCAGCACACTTATGTGTGCTTTATACCTAAGCACATAAATGGAAATTGTCTCTAAGTATTTAATTTCTAGTGGTTAAAGAATTAGGGTAGGTTTCTCTACTCCATTTATCAGTTGTAAATTGAGACAAGCTAGAAGACACAATTATTCTTGGCAGTCATTCTTCTCCCTTGAAAAGACCATCATTTTATTGACATAGTCCAGTTTGAATGATATGATGAATGTTCTGTTTAAATTTAATTTCAAGCTTTATATTATACTGTGCCACCTTCGCAGTATTAAATCCAAATATTGAATCCAGTTTTATTATGGAAGAGAATAAATACCTGATATAGTAGCATTTCATCAAATGTAATTTATTTTACTGTGATAACAATATGGGCAATCTAGAATACAGGTAGTTCTCAATTTATATCAGTTCATTTAGTGACCGTTCAAAGGTGCAATGGCACTAAAAAAAGTGACCTCACCGTTTTTCACACTTACAACTTTTGCAGCATCTCCCTGGTCATGTGATCAAAATTCAAACACTAGGCAATTTATGACAGTTGCAGTGTCCTGGGGTCATGTGATAAGCTTTTGTGACCTAACAAGCAAAGACAGTGGGGAAGCCAGATTCATTTAACCACCATGTGACTTAACAACTGCAGTGATTCACTTAACAACTGTGACAAGAAAGGTCAAAATTCACTTAACAACTGTCTCACTTAGCAGCAGAAATTTGGGGCTCAGTTGTGGTTGTAAGTCAAGGACTACCTGTATTAGCATTATTCATAAGTACCTGTTTATAGTAATGTGGTTTCCTTGCCTATAGACTGTTATTCCAAGTTATCTGATAGAAGTCCCTGTGCTTGAGATGCTCCAGTGATAATCACCAGCATGTGCTTATTTATTCCCCATTTAAACATAGATGTTGAGATATGGACTGTTCTGTCACTTTTGAGTTCTTGCTTATTGGAGAAAAGAGCATGTGCATAAGACTGACTAATATATTGACACAATTAAAATGTACAAGCTGTTTGATCTGGTGTGTGCCTTGTATGAATACCGGGAGCTGCTAGACTTTATGTATATCCTGTAGAAGAGTCTTTTGCCTGCTTCAGTTTTCATATTCTTATATCATGTTGTTAACAGATCTGAAGTTAGAGGACAATTTGAAATTCAAGGTGGTCTTGGGCTGATCTTGATACCTATTAATATTTACCAGCATGGGATATTAATTAGGGGACTGGCAAGCATTCCAAAAAATTCAAGGTACATAAAGAAAAAATAAGAAAATACTGAGAGATGGCAAATGTGCTTCTTCTCAATAGAGAAGCAAACCATTAAATGCTATGGTTTGCTTCAACAATAAGCAAAATAGTAAAGAAAATCTGCTTATTTGTTTTTTAACTAGAAGCTAATCTTTTAGGTCTAGATTGCTATGAGTTTGGAAAGTGATTATAGTCTTCCAGCAGATAGGATCAGTGAATTTTTTTCACATTAACATCAAAAATTTCCTTTTAATCTTTGTTGTCCTGGAATAATGCTGAGATATTTCAGGCACTCCATTCTTTTGTTTAGTTTTCTTTAATCCACTCTATCAAGGAGGTTGGTTTCGTTTGTTTGGCATGGAGAAAGTGCGAGGAATCTGAACGTAAGTGCAAACATTACAGAACTCTAAGGGTGATTAAGCTAATGAACGCTAAATACATTTGAGTTTAAAAGAGAGTGACAAGTGATAGGAGAAGGGAACATTCAGGACCATTTCAGGAGGAAGATCTAGAAGAGCTAGAATGACTAATACTAAATGTATATAAAAGATTTTTGGTGCCTAGTTCTTGCTTATGGAGACAGAAATGAAAATAGTTTTAAAATTCTTTTACATTGCAGCTGTGAAATAATAATAATACATATAAAATATAAGTTATCCATGTAACATATATTAAGCAAAAATTCTCCCAGATCCAAACCATTGATTCCAGACAAATTTTGGCACTTCTTATTTAAGAAGTTAAACCCTACTATAAACAGTTTATTCTAAATCATATGTTGGCATTGACACTTGGGAAATGAAAATAAAAATGTAGAAAGCTGTCTTGTAGTAAGCGAAACCAGAGCTAGTCTAGCATAATATTATCAGTTCACTGGCAATTGCAGAAATATTTTTCTAGTTCTATTTTGAGATGTTAGAAATTGAATCTGGGGTCTTCTCCTTGCAAAGCATGTTTTGCCTGCCCTATGGAGTTCTTTTTTTTTTTTTTTACTGTGCCGCACTGTGTGTTTTTGTCTGTGGGGACTGATTGATTGATTATGTGCCATCAGAGTTACGTCAACTTTTAGGGACCAAACAGATGCATTTTCTTAATGATGATCTGTCACTAACCTGATCCTCCAGCACCTCCAATGATGCACCATCACCACTGTAATTAAGTCCATCCAACTTGCTGCTATTCTTTCTCTTCTTTTTTCCTTGTATGGCATAACAATAGCTGATGATATGAAAGGTAGAGCTATAGATGTAAGCACTTCTTGCTTTTTATTCAAGCTCAAGATAATGTTTCAAATGTTTGACTGTTGTTGTTTGGTGATTCAGTGATTTTCCTGAGAATACCTTGGATAGCCAAGAAAAGAAACCAATGGCTCATCAAACAAATCAATCCAGAGTTCTCACTTGGGACATAAATGACCAGATTGTCTTATTTCAGCTATATTATGCAAAGATCTACCTTTCTGGAAAAAAAAACCTCTATTGCTGCAAAATTATTCCTATAATAAGTAATGGGGAAAAAACATTAGCCTTTGGCCTTGGCGACTAACCAGTGCATGAGAAATTATTAGAGGAATTGGCATTTCTATCTTTCCTATCAGCTATTGTTATGCCATACATGCACTTTTTGACAAGATATTATATCACTTCTCCACTTTAGCGTTATAAAACATCAACAAAGTAGATGAGATTCTGTGTATATATTTCTGTGTTGAAGTCAGAAGGTGGAATTAGCCTACCCAATAATAACTCTTTCCTGCCACAAGTCCATTAAAGAGAAACTTTCCCTCCCTTGTTTATTGTTCTAGTCTACAACTTCAGTGGTTATTTGCTAACCATTACTAATAACTGAATTATGGTTGGAATTAATTATCTATAAGTGTCTATGAATTTGGTTTTGCTTAGATCCAGTTAAAATATAGTCAGGTGAATTAAAAATTCACCATTATTTTCTGTGTGGAAGCTAATATGAGCATGTGAAGTGTAGTGAGTAGAATAATAATGAGATGTGACTTGGATGTGAAATTGGTAGTACACACAAGGGCACATTATGCACATAAAGGTGGGTTTCAAATAATCCATTATGACTTTTCTGCACCACAATAATAGCTGAGAAAGATAAATAGCTTTTTTGTTTGTTTTTATCTGATAACTTGATAATTTTGATAATTAGCATTAAACTGTTAGGCTTTCCCCAAACCAGTACAGTACTAGATTTAGAAGCTTCACAAGTAGTCATTCAAGGACATAGTTCTCAATAAACTATTTTTTTTTTGCGAGAAACACTGTTAATGAAGAAATCCAGCAAAGGGCTTAACATGCAAGCCTCAAAATCTTACATTTTTTTGTCTTGTTTGGTGGAGCAGTGGACAAAAAGAGTCCCGCTTTTGGGTAGCAAGCAAGTTTGGCTGTTGTGGATTGTTATTGTAATGGACCAATCTGGTCTTGTGTGCCATTCTTCCAACATTGCCTGATCTATCATTCACAAATCCCTTTACCATTGCTTAAAGAATTCCAGGATCAATAATACTGGCTTTCTCAGCGCTTATGTTGCAACCTGCAAAAAGCTCCCTCCTTCTACAGGTGCTCTGAGTCAGAATGCAGGATGACTAAGGTAAGGTTTGTTAAGAGCAAATGCTTTCTAGTCTTTTAGCATTGCAGTACATGGGAGCCGCAGCACACCCTGCTTGACATGGCCACTCCTCCCTTGCCCTGAACACTCGCCAAAGGATTGAGAGAGAAGAGCCAGAAGGAGAACAGCTACTTCAAGGGACTAGTTGTTCCTTTCTGCACTTGGAGAAAACTGAAGCTTTTTTATGTTGGGGAGATATTGCAGCTGGAGAAAACAAATGGCGTTACAAATAAACCACAGTTCTGCAAGCAGCCAAGGTCTGTCCTGAGAAGCTCTGCTATGTAAATGCCTTGCTATCTGGCATATTATTTGTATTGTATCCAGGATGTTATTTTTCAAGCAGGAAGCTGATTAGGAAAGTTTTGCTCAGCTGAAGAGAGTATTTGAATTCTTCTGTCACTGGACTGGATTATTAGTATCCAGTCAGACTGTGCAGAAAGAAAATGCTGTTGTTTAAAAATGGATATCTGGGTTCCATATGGTATAGCCTTATCAGGATAAGGAAAGATAGATAGAAAGACAGGTAGAGATAGATTGAACATTCGTGCATTTGATGTGTTTGATTCACTTTTTAAAAAATTATGCTGTTGGGATAACTAAGAAAGGTAGGAAATTAGCCTGATAAATTTTGTTTTGCACCAACTTGTTGCTGAAGGAATTGTGTACATTTTCAGGATATATTGAATTCATAGTTGGAAAAGGAATTCACCTGGGCTTATTTAAATATGGATAACCTACATAAAGAAATTGATAGGTCTTCTTTGCTTTAATGCACTAATTCATCTGTTTAGCAAAGCCAGGAGGAATGTTTTGCACTTACTGTAATATAACGATAGTACAAATCGTATATATTTTGCAAGCTGTGTATTGGCTCCGTATATAGTTCACTCTGTATATAGTTCACTACAAGAAATTAAGCCAGCTCAGAGAGCACCAAGGACCCCGCATAGTTCGCTTTGCTCATGAATTTATAAATTAACCAGTGCTCTGTTTAAAATTTCAGTTTCCAGGAACACTTTTTAAAAATGTGTGGGCTTAGGGAGACAAGCATAACAAAAAGAGAAATGGAATTTATATATCGGGATAAATGTTCATCTCCAGAGATAAAGAATTCTTGCCTTGGATGTGTTTGTACAGAATTTTTATGTGTAGATCATGGAGATTTGTATGATGATCTTTGGGCAGATTGTTTTTGAGGAACAGGTGTGTCCAACCTGATCACTTTTTCTCTTTAATGCCCTGTTGAGAAATGCATTTGTTTAGGCATGATGTTGATGATGACAATCACTTGACATGTATATGCTTGTTAGAGAAATGCCTACCGCAGTCTTTTAGAAGTGGCAAGTTTGGAAAGAGTCTTTACAGGTAAATTGTGTAACTGTGATATCTTTGACAAGATCTAAACCATACACAGGACCATATTAATTGAATTAAAAGGTTTTTATTGAAACAGAACTAGCCAGATCAGTGTGGTGAACCTCATTATCCAGAGACCGCCTTTAATGCAATATTATTAAAAGAATTCTTGGCAACTCTTACGTAAACTCTCCTTGTGTTGTCACATCTGATAGAAGTTGTTCCATACCATTGACACAATAATTGCTTCTTATTAAGAGTTCTTTTGGCTTTTTTGTTGTATTGTGCTTGAAAAACATTAATCTTTTATTTATTATCTACAATGCATATCAATAATGTGTTGCAATATAGATAGTGCTAACACATGCATTAGATGTAGTCCTTGGTATGTTGTCTTTAGCTAACCTTTCCCCTCCCACCTTTAGTGATGCATGTTCTTATGGATACATGAGTGGATGGATGCATATTAGAATGTTCTGCAATTACAAATAGGCTTCATAATTTTAATTTTAGGGTCCAAAATTTGGTTGCTTTTGACTGAATTGGCATAAAAATATAATATGAATACAAGTGAAATGTGCTTTAGGCTTTATTTCCTTTTCTTTGTGAAAAAGATGGTTATATCTATATGTCTTAAATTAGAGAAACAAATGATGTTATTATAAACTTGGTAACATTTTTTTTCAGTGCGATTGATGAAGGATCATTAGTTTTTTAAAGAGTACACAGAAGAGCAACAAAGATGATTAGGGGACTGGAGGCTAAAACACATAAGGAACGGTTGCTGGAATTGGGTATGTCTAGTTTAACAAAGAGAAGGACAAGGGGGGACATGATAGCAGTGTTCCAATATCTCAGGGGCTGCCACAAAGAAGAGGGAGTCAAGCTATTTTCCAAAGTGCCTGAAGGCAGGACAAGGAGCAACGGGTGGAAGCTAACCAAAGAGAGAAGCAACCTAGAACTAAGGAGAAACTTCCTGACAGTTAGAACAATTAACCAGTGGAACAACCTGCCTCCAGAAG